GCGTGTGCCGTGCGCGCGCAAGGTGTGAGGACCTATAAACTAGTTATCGTTTTGGACGACCCAAGAGTGGCGACGAGCAGGTGCTCTACCTTTATTCATAATAGGCTTATAAGAATATCACCTTAAATCGAATATACGTGTATACGGTGTTCAAGCCGTTTTGAAATAATGACGACATTAATTCGTTGCATCTCTTTCGTTATCAAAGCGGCGCGTTATAACAACAAATGTCTCCGAATCGTTTTATTGAAAAATGTAACTTTATAATATATTATAAACACAAACCAATAATTACCGTCTGACAATATATATCATACACGCGCATATCGATTGCGCGCGCGTAATTTTATGAATTTTATTCGTTAATCGTTTTCCAATTAACGATAATAAGTTATGATTGTACACATCGTCCGGGTAAAACAACGCATTCGATGAATATCGGCGGCGGTGCCGTTGTTCGTTTACCACCACTTGAGGACCACTTGATGAAAAATTCAAATAACAATTACCCGAAGATAAAATGTATAACGGCCGCTATCGATCTACACGCATGCATATCGTTCGTGCCGTTTGCCCCGCGTTTCACAAAAATTAATCGCACCACGATAGCCTACACAAGGATCGGCTGACGCAATAATCTACGTACACCTGAGTACCGCGCACGTATTTTTATTTATTTTTTTTATTTTTCTAAGGATAAACTTTGGACGGTAATTGTTCACAGTGTTCTCGAGCTAGCGCGCTTAATAACACGTGGATTAAACGGATGTTTTACACGGATTCTTACGGACATGACGCGTCTGTCCGTAGATAATACTGGCAAGACATGCGTGGTTTAACGCGTATAGTAGTCATTCCCAGCGGTGTTCATCAGTACAATTAGGCCGGAGGAAAAAATATGTAATAACGACTTCAAAAACGGTCGTGTTTTAATTTTTTTTCAGAAAACCCATTCGGTCACGGTCAGTTTAACTCGTCGAGTTTCCCAATTGGTCGGGGTTTTTTTTTTTTTTTTTCCCGTTAACGTTTCCCTTCGGAGCGGGCGCTGGTACACTGGGTATCATGTGCGTACGCAACGCGAACGGAAGAAATTAACGTTCGGAACTGCACAGCTCGCCGTACACTCGGTCGCAGCCGTTTATTATATTAATTTACGCGTCGCAGGGGGGGTGGTTTCGAATTACCGCCGGGATGGTTGTGCGCAACGACGTAGTTACAATGCGTGGTGTACGCGCGCGCGGCAACTCGAAAAATTAATATTTATTCGTTTTCCGCTACGCGAGCGGGTGCGCGGTGGTAATAATAACGTAACGTCGTGTCTTCGTCGTCGCCGCTGTTGCGGACACACTTGCACCAGAACAACGGAGAATAATAATGACGGGGGGGGAAAAAAAAAAACCTTTAAACAAACAACGTAATTGCACACTATAAAAATTAATCGTCGGACACTAGTGGAAGGCGGCAACCGAATGCAGCGGAGAGAAAAAAAAAAACGACGTGCACACAAAAAAAAAATTATGACCAGCTATTTAATTTTTTTTTTTTTTTACTTTCGGTTACGCTTCCCCGTGGGTTACATACGTATTTGCGCGCGTCTGTTTCCGCTGCTTTATCGTACCCGCTACGTAAGATCATGTGTGTTCGCGATAGTTAAATGAAAATTGCCTTCGTTCGACCGCTGCCGTTTCGTACGGGGGAGACATCGAGAACCGATGTTGCGGGAATAGCAAAATCCCATTTTTCCACCCCGTGCCCAGAACTTGCGGTGGAAAAAAACGCGTAGAACGGTTAGAACGCGTTTGAGGGATTTCGATTTCACTCCACTCGGTGAACCGGGAAAAATTGACGTTTTCGTAGATCTTCTTTCTTTGTTTTTTATAGTAATCGTTACCATCGATGAACTACCATTGCAACACGTTTTCGTTTAGACCATTACAATTCTTGTTACCCGCGGACAATATCAGCTAAAATTAATTTGTCCGTATTGATCAATCGAAATTGAAGCGTTTGTTTATCGATTTCCGATACGGATTATTCTTCGTTCCGCGCGTTTAAAATCGATTACTATCGATTATAATGTTATTACTTATATTAATACTTTTAGATTACCGTATCATAACTATAGTGACAGGTTTTAGCGATCACGTCATAGGGAAACACATATTTTATCATATTCAGACGATAAAAATAAAATCTTACACTGTTACTCGTATTGTTGATAACTATTTAAAATTCAACGAGAAAATGTTAAAAGAATTATTATTTTACCATGCAAGTTATTACACTGATTAATGTATTTAAACGAACGAAGGAAACTTTGATTCAGGACGACTCGATGGGACGCTATATGGTCAAAATAATATTTTGAATTTCTTGAAAACACAAATTGCATACTGTTATTAAGATTTTGTAAATCACTGTTGCCGAAATAACATTTTTTTTTTTTATGTTACAGCAGTTTATCTACTCTGTGTAATAAATTTAATTCGTACACCGAAAATCATTTCTCCGCTATAAATTGGCTATTTCGGTAAACCGTTTACATCTCTATGTGTGCCCGCTCTCTGGTATCGATTGTACGATATCGTACTAGTCATCAAATTGTTTAAAAACTTCTGATCCGTCCGAATTTTTCGAATCACATCGGCTTCATGGCGGCCAGTACCTCGACGACCTGTATGTATATATATAGCAGCGATAGCGGTAGGCATTAGTTAGTCGTCTCTCTGTTCGGTTTATTGGATTTATTTATTTTTTTGTTTGATTTATTTTCGCATTGATTTCTCTCTCTCTCTCTCTCTCTTGGTCCGTCTTTCTGCTCCCGTCACCCATTATTACCGTCTCGTGCGGCCGACACGTTTTCGCATCGTAGTCGTCGTCGTCGTTTTGCCGGTTTTCCATTCGGCCGTGACAAATCCGATGTTAGCGATTTACAATCGCGATAAAATTCGTGCACGGTGTGTCTGATACGATTTTCTACTCGACTCGTCGTTGGCAGCGGCGCACCAATAATAACTTCGTTTCGGTATGCGTGTATTGTACGCGCATAGGTATGAGCAGGTAACCACACTTGTCGTGCACCGCAATAATGCGCGGTTGTCGTCGATCGATTAGACACGATACAGTTCGGTTTGTTAGTTATTTTTTTTTTTTTTTGTTTTTCGTTTTACTCGACGTACCCGTTTACCATATCGATGATCTTATCGACAACGAACTGTTGTGGAAAAAAAGTGTCAACGGAGTCATAAAACTATGCGTGTTATATTTTTTTTCCCCCGTAGTTCCACCTCGAAAACGAATCACTGTGGCGGTAAATTGCCGTCTATGCGCAAGTTGAGCGAGTCATAATTGTTGTTGCAGGTACTTATTGTTGTGTAGTACACATTATACATGGACCACCTTAATATACTGCAATGTCGATTTTCCTATAAAAACTGAAAACTTCTATAATTTTTGTAATAATTTTATGTATAGTAATCTCTATCCGTTACGTAACGTGTTTAATATCATTTGGTATTTTCAGAGGTATTTTAGCGGTGATATTTTGGGGAATATACCTATATAGTTAGGTTAGGTTGATGTTCAGTACAAATCGAGAGCTAAATAAATTCAGCTTACTAAATAAAATATATAATATTATAATATAATGTTTTATGATGTTTCTTGTATTTATATAATAATTGACCTATCTTAGCTGTACTAGTGGTTAAGTAAATAAAAAAAATGATTTCGTTACTTTCCGATCAACCTCTTATTATTATTATTATTATTCTTTCATTATTATTTTTATATTTGATCGATTGCGCGTTACGGCTGTATTACACATTTTATGTTATAATTGAAATAATTTTAATAGAAAAAAAAACAACGTTCGGATTATCTACCGCGCGCGTATATAGGTAACATTTGTGTTACAATCATTACAGAGATAACATAATTTTTAGTTTTCTTTGATGTTCGTTTCCTCTGCCTATTAGTGACTACTATATTTTAATAAAATAATACGATGACGCGCTACGTTTGCCGGTGCTTTTTTTCGTATCAAATTTTTAACCACAGGTTGTGTACTAACAACGCGATTCGGTTTTTCTGAAATAGACCGGTGAACATAATTACGCGGTCATTATATGCATAGTGCGCGACCGTTGTGCGTATCGCAGTGCAATAGCAAAGAAAAATCCAAAATAATATGTATATAATATGGTGCCAAGTTCGAAAACTGTATTCGGCCGGTTTCGGATTCGTAGAGAACGCCCAAGCGTAATTATTTGCTCGCGTATATATTTATAGACCTGCGCGCGGTGTTCGGTGCGCGCGGGACGACAAAGGAACGTCCGTCGCGCGACGAGCCGCAAAAATAGTCGCCGAGGAAAAAAGAGAAAGGAAAAAAAAGACACCAATAAAATTTTTTGTTTGACGTGCGTGTTACGGGCGGGTAGTACGTTCGGTCGCATAAATACGTTGTATACACTGTTGTAGATAAGCTGTACTTTTATAAAACAAAAAAAATATTCTTATTATTTTTACGCCAGCGTTGTAAAAAAAAAAAAAATAAACCAACAAGAGAAGTCAAAACCGATCGATTTCGTTTCGTGAATGATATACGCTTGTTCATACGGCACTGGCCGCGGACTCGGATCGTCCGGAAAAGGAGTTACAGAACGGTGACGGCCGTACGTCGGCGGTGATGATGATAACCCCTGGATGGTTATCGCGTACCGACGGACTGTGCGTTCTTCAGCCACCGCCTCCGTAGCCGTTGACCTGCCCCCACCCCTCCCAACCATCCCGCCTGTGCCGTTTTCGTTATATATCTTTTCGTATTCTTTTCCGACTTTGCTTACTATCAACGCGCATCGATAACGCATCCGCAAGCGCGCGTGCACGATCAACCCAAAACTGTTTTTTTTTTTTCATTTTTTTATAAGTATTGTTTTCCAACACCAAACTGTTGCCCTCTCATCATGTAATATTTCTAATACCAACCGCGTGCTTTGCAGAAGTTCGCGAGCGCCCTAGGGTACGGCTTTGCTCCGTGACCCCCTGCAGCAGCAGCAGCAGCAGTTGTAGCCGTCAGCAGCTCTCGGACCATCGTCAACGGGATTAGTCGATGACACCGCCGGCAACAACGCCGTCGCCGTAGTTCACGCACGACACACCACCACGCGCTATCCGTTGCACGCGAATTACTTGTACAACGCGTCGCATTGGCAGCCCTGATGGGCGTGTTTGAAGACCTGGCCAATCAGAAACCCGGAATGCATTGGGTAAGTACGTTGTGTATATCGCGACAATACTTATGTTTATGCGCGTATGTAAATGTACAGAAATAAGTTCTCTTCCGCGCGGTGGCAACGCGTAAGTTGTGACGTTCCCAAAGGGTTCGTCTTGGTAAGCTAGCGTGATGAGGGATGTGCGGATGTCGCGTTGCAGTGGTGGAGAAAACGCTCGTCCGACCCAACGTTTTTCTGTCGCCGGAGGAACGGTTCATGTTTTTTTACGCGCCGGTACTAGGTTTTTCGAAAATTGCGTACCGGCACGATATTTATGAAATAAAACCCGCGGTTGTGCGCTGTTCTCGACCGCCGGGTCAACGGGTTCGAGCTGAAAAATATGCGATTGTACGCGTGTAATTGTTGATTATGTTTTCCAAACGAAAAGAATAACCGAAATTCAATCAAGTCAACACGGACGTAGACCTACTTTAGACTGTAATTAAATAATTTTCCAGAGACTTCAATAGCAAAAATTAATATTCTCAAGCCTCGTTCACACGGTGACACTACAGCGTGACATTTAGTATCCCGACATTTAGTGTCGCTGTGTGAACAATGTAGTGTCCCAGTGCCACATATCAAAAATGTTTGATATGCGACACCGTGACACAGGTAGTGTCGATATTGTGTTGTCATTATTATCATTATAACTCAATATAAATATTGAAGAAATGATATTGAATCACCAGATGCTAAATACCGAAGAACTACTTGCAATTTTATTGCTGCAGGAATAGCTGTTCTCATAGTTGTATTTTGCTTTTGTATAATTGGACCAACCTAAAACAAAATTACAAAATAAGTACTTTTTTGTATCATAATAATAAATTATTGTCTTACCTTTGGCAAGAGTTCAAAGAGTTCATAGAACATGGCATAATCAACCCGAAGAAAATTACAAAATGATCTGGGATCTTCAAAATGCAACTCCTTTAGTAACGTTCCTGATGCACCTATAATATCCATTCAACTTATCCATTTTCTAACCCAATACTCACGTTTTTTTGTTTTTTCATTCAATTCCAGAATAAGTATTTGTTCAAAAACATCTGCAGCTGCGTTTAATACATAATTATTGGCCATTTTTATTATATTCATATTAGTATTATAATTTTATGATTATGACCACATCGGAGTTAAATAAAAACGAGTTAGATTAAACTAGGTAGTAGTAGTGTAGTTACTGTGTTGTGCGTGAGTGCTGCAATGCTGCGGCATTGGTGTGAACAGAACACGACACTTGACACTGTGACATCAAACTTTGAACAGTGTCACCGTGTGAACGAGCCTTCATTCAATTAGTGTACGATATGAGTTCATATCATTGTACCAGATCGATCGTAAAAAATCTATGTATAAACGGAAAAACAATTATGATTATAAGTTATTATATGCTATTATTAATGCTAATGGAGACGTAATCGTTCAATTTTTAAAAAATACAAAATATTAAGAATGACTCGGATGTTTCGACGACTCTTTTGGAACATTTTTTTTTTCTTTTTGTTGTTTCTCATTACAAACGGTTGGGGGATTTCGTATAGTAGCGTGGTTGAGACGATTCGCCGTCGACCCGCGAATAATAACGCCAATGGGCCGGTCTGAAGAATATCGAGTGTTTCACGAGTGAGTAACCTTTCGAACAGAAAAAAGAAATCAACAGTCACAAATAAAATAACTGAACGCATATATATTATTTATAAACGCGCTATTGTGTATTATGCTTATTAATCTACTCACGGCAGCAGCTGACGGTTAGCGCTTCTTATAGGTAGGTACGCGTACACACAGTACACAACGTTTGTGTGCGCTGTGTATTTATTTGTACATCATAATTCATCGAGTTGTTAACACATTTTACAGTAGGTATACTCGTACGTATTTCGAAAGAAATCGCCTACGACCGCTTTTGCGGAGGATAGAAAATTTTCGATTAAACGACTGGGTTTTGATCGGAAACAAGAGTTAATGGGTCGTGGCCGCTTCTCCTCGCCCCTAGAACCGCGGTGCATATTATAATATTGTTCGTGGTACTGTTCCGCGGTTGTGTAGTATTATACTGGTAATAGTGGTAGTATTGGTACCTATAGGTGTCGTGTCGAGTTCGCGTATTGTCCGAGTTTATCAATTATTTAAATCCCTAACCTTATTATTATTATTATTATTATTATTATTATTATTATGTCGACCGCTGCCAAACAATATGTACAAATATGAATGCAACAACATAATAATATAAAATAATATGTAAGAAGCGTATTGTTCAAGAGCATCGGCAGTGGGAGAGAGGTGAAAAAAACAGTTCAATGTTCACGCCAAACAGACCGAGATAATGCGATTTTCCTGCGGTTCCCGTAATCCTCTTGTTGTTCGAAATTTGAGTGGCTAAATTCACCCTGTATGCGCACGTACATACTTGTGCGAATGAGCATAAATATCGCGAGCCGTCGGCGTGCGGTCCATCCTAACCTTCCTTCCCACCCCACCCCCTCCCATAAAATCGGCGATATAAATTCGTTGACGGGCCGGAATTCCTAAAACTATCCGAAAAATAATATTAATAGCGAAATTGACGATTGCATCATTGTCCGGTAGCTTTGGTCCGAGACACATTTATGGGGAATGAACGTGGTGTACGGTGTGATGCGTGTTGCGACTACGGGAATCGTCATATGCGATATTCGTGAGCAAGCAGCAGCGTAAATTGCAGCAGGTAAACGCACGTTCTGTACAGGAGGACAAAAAAATGAACGGGGGAAAAAAACGTGACTTCAGTATTTCCAACTGCCACCGCGGCTGCCTCGATCTCAGGGGTAGGCGGCTCGAGGCTTGTTCCTCGTTGTAGGGGAAACGGAAGAGCGGGGAAAAAAATGAATAATAATAATAATAACAACAACAAAAGTAGACGGGTATATTATAAAAATGTAAACGCGTGAAGTCCCGGGAAAAAGGTGCTCGTCATCGACCGAGTAAATATAATAACGATAATAATATAGTAATAATAATAATAATAATAGCGCGGGCTTGTCAAACGGTATAACGAACTGTGCCGAACAGTGGCAGACAAAAGCCCATGGTAGTAAATGAATAAGTAAATAAAGGTGAGGTTTGTGCGTAGAAGAAAGATGTAAATTGCGACTCTCACTGTGCGTCGTCCAAATTACGATAGTCAGCGCCATCAAGCAAAGAGTTATTAATGATTAGACCGGCGGTAGTCCGACAATACAACATTACAATATATAATAGCATTTATTGTGTGTACGTAAATATATTATATTTAGAAATACTGGTGCGCGTGTTATTGTGTTTCGACGAACCTTTCGACACGACGCCTGACAATAATAATACTCGTATATCCTTCGATTCCGTTCGTTACGCAAATGCGTTTTCGAGATTTCCATATACAAACACGCGCGCGCGCCCGCGTGCGCCTCCTTGGTCTAAATTTCGGTGCGTTTTGACCTTTCGATAGTTCCTATCCGAGATAATCGTCGACACGAACGTATTCTACGGACGATAATCATTTGTGTCTCGTATGTTTTTGAGCTGAAAGCGACGAAAATATGAGATAAACCGAATTTCAACAGAAATAATGGTAATAATTTTATACTATGACGCTAAATATTGTAGTAGCTGAGTCTTTTACGTATTTATTTATTTGATCGTCAACTGTGGGGTTACAGGTGACCCTTACGTATGTATTTATGTGTGTGTGTTGATGTGTTGGTGTATTATTATTACTATTATTATTATTATTTTTTTTTTTTGATTTGTCATTTCAACAAGGGCATACCCTAAGCGCCTGACATCTGTCCTTACCCTATTTGACCCGGTGGCAAACGAAAAAAAAAACAGGGGCATTCGAGCACAATAACCACTCGATAATACACTCGTCGTCGTGACCTTTTATATTATTCTGTTACGTATTTTACCTACGTATGGTGGTGAATGATATTTTTTTTAATTTTTTTTTTTTTTACTGTCGAATAAGTAGTGTGAAGTGTATATACGTCGTGCGAGGAGAGAATGTTGATTTGGTGAATTCGGTAGCGCAAGAATAACGACGGATACGCGCTTATATAACTCGCGCACGCCCATCACGTAGACGACGGACACCTTACACGTAGAAAACGCGACCCGGCCCGTGTGATTATTTGCGAAAATGACCATTGTCCCTTTTGTCCGCGCTGCTGCCGAGTACTTGACATTCGAGACGATGATGATGCTACGGATGACGCTACGTGTGAGGGCCCCCGTCGAAGTAATAATAATAATAACAATGCAAGTACAATAACGGAGGGATTCCGTAAACATATTATTTTTACCTCATTTCGAACCCGCCCCGGGGCCAACAATACGACGGGGCCGCTGACGTGCTCGGAAGCAATCGGTCGAATTTCTTCTTTGCCGTTGACGACGGCGACGACGTTGCACTTCGCGGACAATCGAGAACGCTGCTGCTGTACATAAGCACACGTTCGGTCGTCGAAATTAGTTTCGCACGCATGCACTGTGCGCAGAAAGAAATCCGAGACGTGTGATGCTCAATCTCGGTTGTAATAAAATCGCGCGATTTCGTCGGACGACGTATCAACGCGTTGTAACTAGTTCCGTCTAAACTGTTATTCCGCCGTATTCCACGCGAGCCCTTGCCGTTGTAATCACACGAACGGTCCAAAGAAAAAAAACGGTTTAAAAAAAATTCGAAATTCCTCATAATTTATTGAATCTATAATAAATTCGTCATTTGAAATACAACGACGGTGTTTTCGTTTTTTTTTTTTTATCGGCTGTTCAATGTCGATCAATTCCGTTCGTGCGATTCGTCGCAAAATGTCCCGTCGATTTGCCACTGCTACTTAAATCGACCTCAATTTCGCGTGTATTCAAGTACAATATTGTTATTACTCCGTGAGCCGCGAACGACTCGCACATATCGCCCCAAGCGTTTCCGATCTGGAAGTAGCCTTTAACTCGTTGGACATAACTGATGCGTATTCGATCGTATTCTCGTACGTTACAAGTGTGCAGAATTTCGACTGTACCACAAGTACGTAATCTATATTTAAATATCGAAACGTCGAAAAAGGTCGTATCTCATGAAAAAGATTGAATATTAAACGACCTAAGTTAACAGAAGTATATTCTGAGGTAGTGTTTTCCGGTGATGGTGATGCAATGAAGGATTAGCGTATGGGGAAGTATACGTGCGGGCCTTGAATATTTTTCACTGGTTTTTTTTTCTGTGCAAAATCATGCTTTTCTACTAAAAAAAAATGTATCTTGGGATTACATTTAATTTATATTTCTCCGCTCGAAAAATATCACCGTAATGCTCATCCTTCAGTTGACCGCGCAACGTTATAAACGTTTTATTTTATTGTTATCATTACGAATATTTATGAATACACCGTACGTTGTGTGCCTAATAATAATATACGTTTTGCATTCCAGCAGCATGACCGCCACCACACCATGCTGGCCAACCCGTACGACCCGTCCAGAGACCTGAGCCCGAACCTGCCGACCACGTCGTGCCGCGGCCAAGAGCTGACCAACGTGTTCGGCGGCGTCGCGGGCGCGGCTGGCCTGGGGCAGTGTTGCGCGCTGAAGTCGGAGTTCGACGACGACTGCCCGGACTGCTGCAAGGTGTCGCCGCCGACGCCGATGATGGACGAGGTGGTCGGCGACGACTACCGCGGCGGCCCGTTGGCGTTGCCCTGCAAACAGGAACGCGGTGACCCGATCGCCGGCCTCGTCGGCATGGGCTCGTCGCCCCTGGGGCACCAGCCGCGACACCACCACCATCATCACCACCATCACCACCACCTTCATCACGCGGTCGTCGGGTACGGGTCGCCGGAGCCATCCGCGTCGCCCGGCCTCCTGTCGTCGTACGGCGGCGGCGGCGGCGCGTACGGCGACTCGCTGCCGGAGCTGATGGTGCGTCCCAAGCGCGAGGAACCGGCCGAGGTGAACCTGTGCGACGGCTGCGGCCTCAAGATCCTCGACCGTTACTACCTGTTCGCGGTCGACAAGAGATGGCACGCCACCTGCCTGCAGTGTTCCCAGTGCTCCCGGACCCTGGCCTCCGAGGTGAAATGTTTCTACCGGGACGGCAAAATATACTGCAAGACCGACTACCAAAGGTAACCCTTGCTAACTTAACAGCGCAGCGCGTCGACCTTTTTACCGTCTCGATACGTTCGATGTTTTTACACGCGCGAAATTATACCCGTTAAGATCGCCGGTTCGAACGATTACGAACTTTTGCGGACATTGAACGCGTAAAGTTCCGATTAGAACCTCTTGCTGGGCTCCGAGTCGATATTTCGTCACACGTGCGCACGGTTCGCACGACGACTTTCGATTGTGAAAACTGTTTCCACGGATTAAAATAATTGCGGCACCGATGGGGACAGCCTTGCGCGGGGATTTAAATGAACGTTCCTCTCGCACGTACTCGTATATCTTTGACTTGGACGTTAATGAGGCGTCCAACGTGTACGAATATCGGGTAGACCGCGTGTACTCGACTCGGGAAAAATGTTGGCGAGCCGTGTGCGCTCGTATTATTTATACGGGTGCATAACTTTATCTCGGGTTCACCCCGAGCGCATTTATTATCATAATACAGTATTTGCCGTGCGTAAGGATTGTTCGTGGAAGTTCGACCGTTATTTACATATAGCGGATGAGGAGTCGGCCGATACGTATATAATACGGCAATAGGGTCGGCGGCGAGTCGTAATTATTCAACGTCTCCGGGGCGATAATATATTACGCGGTCGAAAACTTCTGGAAGCAATTAAAAGTCCTACGGAGGTATGACTTGGCTGCGGCGATCCCGCCGTACCCACCGCACGTACGTACGCACACATAGCGCGCATTACACGCACTGGCATCCGACCAACAGCGCTCTTGCGTAGGTACCTGCGCACACGTCCTGTGTGTCCTGCGCCGAACATATTACACGCGCGCTCGCACGTGCCTTCGTCCTGATCGTCGTCGTCGTCGTCGTCGTGACCGTTCGTTCTCGGACGTGAAAATATGTGTCGCGCGGGACCCTTCGCTCCGAGACGCGCCGTGCGTATGTCCATACGTAATGTATTCGTCGCGTTGCTTAATTGGATCATATACCGGGGGAATAGGAGCAGAACGTGTGTCGCCGCGTCGGCTACGAGTTGATAGTAGTGAAAAACGAGCGGAGCGAAACCGGAGTGCGTGGATTTATTTGAACGCATATGATTTCACACAGTCTCGTTCGGTCGAGAACACATCGGCACGTTAGAACCGGAACGCGTTTGTTCGAGTTTATACGATGCTGAAAACGTGCGAACGGCGATTCTCGTCCGTTTTAAACGCGACCCGTCGTAAGCGTTACGATAACGGGTCCGACTTTTGGAGCCTTGCAGTCGGTTTTCAACGGCCGAACGCGCGTTTTTTTTTTGTGGTAACGCACGTGTTTTAAACGAAATGTCCGTGGTCGGCCGCGTCGTCCGTCGAACAACTACAACGATAATAATTATCGTTCGTACGGCGATTTATCAAACAGCAGGAGTAACCGGTCGGCACCTGCGCGTCGCGACACGACAAGCGACGGCGCGCGCGCGCGCGGAACGCGTGTAAAACAATATTATAATAATAGTAATTTACATTTATATTGCCGTTCGGGATGCGCGCAATTATGTGCGTGCAAACGTCGCCGGACGCACGCACTCGGGTCTCAGCGTTTCACGTGCGATAACCATCGGCGAGGCCGGATCAACGGGCGGGGGGTCTGGCCGGGGCCCTCTTGGAGTGAAAGGGGCCCAAACGATTTTAAGCCGATACACATTTTTTTTATCATACTAAATTGGAGTAGTTTTATAGACATAAATTGCGTACACCTATTGATTTCATAAAATTTTATCGTGCAATCGACAGTTTGCGAAACGGTTGAAAAAATGTGTCGTTCCGCAAGCGCAGTGAGCAGCTTTTTTGTAAAGCATGTTTTGTCAAAACGAGGGCCCATATAAAACGATCATGGGCACCGTACAAAAACGCGGTTCGTACGTTACCGCGAACGATACGCGCGTAAACGAAACGATAACCATATTATTATTGTTATTCGCGACGGTGTCTCCACTACGCGCACGCGGTACACGCGCGCAACGATGTGATGACTGCGCCGCGCGCGAGTGACGTGTGAAATCGAACAACTCTCGTTTTACTGTTACCGGTGCGCCGACGACGAGATCGTGTGTGCGTGCGCGCGTAGTAGGCGCGTCGTACGGTTCGTGTCGGCCGCAAAGAACTGTGCTGCCTCGTGTCGATTCCGATGTCTTAATTATCACTTCGGTTACGACGTCAACGCCGCGCGTCAAAGAATAATAACACGTACCTACGCGTGTACGTATAAGAGAATATAAAAGTCGATTTTTCTCTCTCTCTCTCTCTTTTGTACCTCCCCGCGCAAAAGGTCACCGGTTGGGGGCCATTGTGCGCAATACCGCATGGGAACGACGTGCACCCGCCGCGGCACGGTTGTGCCGACGCAACGAAATCGTTACGAGCGATCGGGGATGGGCGGTGGGGAACGGAATAACTCGGCGCAGCGAAAATCGCCCAATCATCGTACCCTCCTCCTGCTGTTGCTGCTGCTGCTGCCGCTGCATCCTGTACACAATATTAAACACGTTCGTACGACGACCGGCTCTTTTGGATCTCTCGCCACGCGTATAATTTCTTCTTCTCGTCGTTCTACTCCTCCTCCTCGTCGTTGTCGTTTCGTTCTTCTACGGTGCGAATGCCCGTGCGCTTATCGGTCGTATCGGATCGCCGCGCGCCGCCACCACCAGACGTGACGCCGCAGAGACGACCTGCTGCTGCTACACGTGTACACCACACACACACACACACACACGTGCACACATGCGTTTTACACTATTGTTTAGTGTGTGCGTGTGCGTGTTCACCGGAGTTCCTATGTCAGCCTATATAATATATACTTGACAATAGTTTGTACGTACGTATAAATTTAACGTCCCGGCCCGGGCGCCCGACGATAACAACGACGGTGTCATTATCGTGTGCACTGTATAACAACAGCTAAACCACCCCGTGTTTTCGCGTTCACCCGATCCGCCCAAATTGCAGTGCGTATAATAATATTTCGGTGTATAATAAATACTCGGCTGACAATTGCTGCTGCGCCGGTGCACGTTAGATTACATATATATATTATGTGTGACCGCATGCGACGACGACGGTTATCATTACGTTTTTATCGATGTTCGGGTGCGATAGTTTCTCCTCGCGTCTTCGTCCGACGCACCCGCGCGTCCCGGTTTCAGACCGTAATCTCAGACGGACACCGTTGTCGTGGACAACGGTGTCCGAATATCGTCCGAAACGAAATTTTTTCCTACGCACAATATAATGTAACGGATAATATTATGAATATTTTACTGTTCCGTCGGTTTTCGTTGCACCTACCCGTAGCCCAGCAGTGTCGTGGCGCTCGTTCGGGTCACGTTCCGTTCGTACAGTTAATCATGCGCCGACCGTGCGAGGGAATAAAAAAATACCGTCGCCCAGACATGTGTACGCGCTTCTCCGAATCGGATGACCGTAGTAGAAACGACGACGTTTCCCGGTCGTCCTAGACGACGGCGGTGGTGCTAAAACGACCGAAAAACATATTACACGGGCGTGTAATAAACCGCCCGCCGTTAACCGGTGCCCTACGGACACGTGCAATAAACAATACTGTAATAATAATACGCTGTACTATCGTATAATAATAAAAAATAAAAACTAGGTAAAAACACTTAATTTCGATCTACGTGCGTGGTCCCCGGCCGTCCGCTGTCAACGTGCTCCGTTTAATAAATAACGTGTTAATATATTTGTCGTCTCTCGTTTTACCGGCCGTAAAGTTCTCCCCGAGCTCCGCGCCACGGGAGATACGTATATAGATACGTGACGTTATGCGACGCTGCGCCGGGTGGGTACGTTTTGTATATTTTTGAAATCGTTTGATCGGACGCACAAGACTTGCGGGTACATGCTCGTAACGTTGGTCCGGTTATCTAACGTTTGACTCGCATTAAGATTAAACCGATTTTCCTGTGTTTTCCGTTCGTGTTGGAACCGTTTTCGTGCGGTAAACAAAGTCGCGTTGTAATAAGATCCGCGATCTGGGGCCCCGCTCCGTAGGATTCCAACTGGCCACCGTACACAAACTTCAGCTCTAGAACCATATCGTGTTTATCGGTTTGTCATTTACCACGCTTTGTCTGCAACGTTACGTGCCCGATTAGGCGTTAACCGTTTGGAAAAATTGGGAAGAATTCCATTCGTTTATCCAAAAAGGCTAATAATCCCGTTTGCGATAAACTGTCATGACGTCGAGCGCGCGTTCACACGCACCCACACACGAATAATTTTGGTCGACGCACCGGTGACGGCGACGTCCGTGTTGTTGTTCTCACGTAGAACGAACGGTGTTTTATTCATTTTTTTTTTTTTTTTTTTTTCATCGCATAATAACAATATTTTATGAAAACGCACAACAGAGTCCAAACGGTGTAAAGGGCACACATTATTGCGTATTGTGTCCGATGACTAGGCACAACCCGCTCAGTCCCTCTCTGCCGTCATACCATATCCTTTCGCCATTCGATACACGGTGACCGTGATCAAAGCTGATCATGCACATTCACAACAACGAACGGACTGCTGACCCGTAATAACGCGCGCGTTTATCCGAACGCACGTATTATTTTGGCAGTTTTTTTTTTTTTCCATTCCCGTTCGAGTCCGTTCGGAACCGATACACTTCAAAAGTATTAATGTCGAAAACGTATACAATCTCCGACGTCGTTCGTTCGATCGATGGTGTGCGCGAAACCGGTTGTACGTGTAGCGGCAGTCATCGCAGCGGTGACGACGCGTCCATATACTATTAACACGGTCGTGTGTTGCGTAATCGCGAAAACGCGCATATCTTCTGCGATTATGTGTTATATTTTCGTCCGAGCGAAGAATTCGCGCGCGAACTTCACGCGCACCGCACACAATAACGTAATCCGCGTACAGTAAAACAACAACAATGTCGGTCAATATGTCGCGCACGAGAGACCTTCAGTCGGGCAACAAGTGGTAC